ATTAATTTAATGTTCAGGAATCTGTAACGCTGTTAACCTATAAGTATATATACAGAAGCTAAGTCTTTTGCAGGATTTATTATCTTCTGATTATACACTTTAAAATTAGTCTTTGTAGGTGTATCATTAGCATCTAATGTACTTCTAAAAACTGTTTTTAGCACTTGTCAAATCTAGGAAGCCAACATTTATGTTGCTGTATCTAGAATTATTTGCCTAGAACCATAAAATAGGAATGGCATTGATGATCTAATAGTTTATAATACCTGAATGAAGTTCATTTATTGGTTCACAGCTCTTTTCAGGAGCTGTGATATGTAAGTGTTTACCTATAGTGCCTAGTCCATAAAAACCTAAGTGTTTGCTATCATTCATTTGTAGCCAATGGCTTAAATTTCTGTCTGGTCATCTGGAACTTGAAAAATCCTCAAATGCCTTTATTCTTTTACCTAACTCCCTAGTCTTTTTGTAGAGTAGTTAAGATATGCCTGGTATTAACTCCAGAGGTAATATAAAAATTTTACTTCTTTGGTTGGTTAGTGAATTGGTGTTGAATATTTTCTGTTGTCATCAAAACATACTTTCAAAATTATTAAAAGGAAGCTTAGCACATTTATTTCATTAAAACAAAACAACCAAAAAACTTCTTTATAAATCTTTTCTTATGATAATAAGCTTACATATGTGAATAAATTATCAAAAATTATTTCTAAGAAACTATAGTATACTGTCACGGGTGTTTTTGTTTCTTGTTTTTAATCTGTAAAATAAAATGACTTCAATTATTTTTTTTGCCTGACCTATATCAGTAATAAATTACCCAGTCTCAGTTATTCCTTTACAGCAACACTAAACATACTAAGAAAATTGGTATTCAGGTGTGAGGCATTGCTCTAAAGATGCCTGAAAGTGGTGGGAGTAGCTTTTGAACTAGGTAATAGGCAGAGGTTGGAAGAGTTTGGAGGGCTCAGGAGAAGACAGGAAGACAAGGGAAAGTTTGGAACCTCTTAGAGATTGGTTAAGTGGTTGTGGATCGAAATGCTTATAGAAAAAGAGACAGCAAAGATCATACTGAGGAAGCCTTAGATGGAAATGATGAACTTATTTGTAACTGAAGCAAAGGTCATACTTGTTACACCATAGCAAAGAATGTCCACATTGTGTCCATGCTCTAGGGCTTTATGGAAGGCCTAATTTCAGAGATGGCCTAGGGTATCTGGGAAAAGAAATTTCTAACTATCAAAGTGCTCTGGCTGCTGCATGGTTACTTCTAACTGCTTAGAGACCAGAGGAAAATTGGAAAATGTACAGCCTTGCCTTGTGTTAGAGAAGGAAAGAAGAGTGCTTTTAGAAGAGGAATCTAAGAGTATGGCAAAGCAGGAGCAATAGTTTTCTAAAGAGGTTAGCTTGAAAAGGGCCGGGTGCTAACAAGACTAGGGTAAATATGTCTCAAAGCCATTTCAGAAATCTTTGATGCGACCCCCTCCTATCACAGATCGAGAAGCTTAGAATGAAAGAATGGTTTTTTGACGGGGTGGGTGATACTGCTCCCCACACCTCACCGGCACCAGCTGCTCTGGAGCGTGTACCCAGTAAGCTTTGTGGGCTTCCATGTGGTGTTAAGTCTGCAAGCATGCTGAATGCAAGAGTGGTAGAGATTTGGCAGCTTTCACCTACATTTGAGAGGATGTATTAGAAAGTCTGGCTACCAGACAGAGGACTGCCACAGGGGCTGAAAGCCCCTGCTAGAGAAGTACCTAATGGAGGAGATGAAGCAGGGCTACCACTCTCCAACCTCAGAATGGTAGAACCACCAACAGCTTGCAATCTCAGCCTGGAAGAGCTGCAGGTATTGGATGCCAACCCACAAGAGCAGCTACCTGGACTGCACCCAGCAAAGCCGTGGGGACGGGGATGCTTGAGTCTCTGGAACCCACCTCTTGAACCAGTGTTCTTAGGATGTGGGACATGGAATCAAAGGAGATTATTTTGGAGCTTTAATATCTGTCCTGCTAGGTTTGGGATTCACATGGGTCAATTTGAGAGATGAAAACATGTTTTGATTTGCATTTAAATGGTGAAGTTAAGGTTGAACATCTTTCAAATACTTACAGATATCTTCCTGTGAGAATTGCCCATTTTCCTATTTATATTTAACCTGTTTGTTAATGATATTTTAGAGCTCTTGGGGCCTATTACCCCTTTCTTTTGGCCTATTTTTCCCATTTGGAATGGGAATGTCTGCACCACCATTGTGTCTTACAAGTAAATTGTTTTTGATTTTACAGGGTCACAGTTGTAAGGAACTTGCTCTGAGTCTCAAATGAGACTTTAGACTTTTGAGTTGATGCTGGAACAGGTTAAGACTTTGGGGGATGGAATAATTGTATTTTGCAATGTAAGAAAGACATGAGATTTGTTTTTCATCCCATGAAATCTTATGTTGAAATTTGATCCCCAATATTGGAGGTGGGGCCAGATGGGAGAAATTTGGAGACAGATCCCCCATGAATGGCTTGGTGACATTCTCCCAGGAATAAATAGTTTCTCTTGGTTCCCATAAGAACTGCTTGTTAAAAAGCCTAGCACCGCCTCCTCTCTCTCCTGTTCCCTCTCTCACCACATGATCTGCAAATGCCAGCTCCCCTTCACATTCCACCATGAGTAGAAGCAGCCTGAGTTCCTGGACAGAAGCAGATGCTGGCACCATGCTTTTTGTGCAGCCTACAGAATGATAAGCCAAGTAAATATCTTTTCTTCATGAATTACCTAGCCTCAGGTATTCCTTTATGGCAACACTAAAGAGACCTAAGACAAGATCCAAATAAAATTAAACTTTAACTAAACATGGTCCCAATAATTGAAATAACAGTCCTCCTCTGTAGTGCCCTCAGCCATCTAAGTTCTCCCATGCACAGCCCATGCCAACTCTGATGCATCTCTTTTCTAGTGACTGAAAAAGGCCAATGCCAGAAACTTAAAAAAAAAATACACTTTTGGGATGGAGGATATATTGTATTAAAATGTAGCATATAATAAATGTAACATTTCAAGTGAAATGCAGAAAAATATGTATTATTCAATAAATGGTCTTCATAAAACTGGCTAACTACATGATGGAAAGTGAGAGGATGTTTAATATTCCTACTTTATGCCTAAATACATTCCAAGTAGAAAAAAATTAAACATAAAAATAGAAGCTAAAAAGAAAGAAATAAATGAACAGTGAATGTCAGGGTAGCAAATGCCCTATTATGCCTATAAGCAAAAGTAAAACCATGAAAGATAATTACATAACATTTTGAACTTTTGGAAATAATATATTTTTAAAATATAAAACCAAGCCAAAGACACATCACAAACAGGAAAATGTCTACAACATAAATAAAACAAAACTTTTATTAATAAAGAGCTCTAAAATATCAACAAACAACAACAAAAATATCAACAAACAGGTTAAATACAAATAGGAAAATGGGCAGTTCTCAAAGGAAGACATCCATAAGTATCTGAAAGATGTTCAACCTTAACTTCACCGTTTAAATGCAAATTAAGGGCGCGGTGGCTCAAGCCTGTAATCCCAGCACTTTGGGAGGCCGAGGCGGGTGGATCACGAGGTCAAGAGATCGAGACCATCCTGGTCAACATGGTGAAACCCCGTCTCTACTAAAAATACAAAAAATTAGCTGGGCATGGTGGTGCGTGCCTGTAATCCCGGCTACTCAGGAGGCTGAGGCAGGAGAATTGCCTGAACCCAGGAGGCGGAGGTT